AATAAATAAATAAATAAATAAATAAATAAATAAATAAATAAATAAATAAATAAATTCAGTTCTGGAGATCATACATCTAACTGACAGGCTATAACCCATTAAATAATGAAATCTGAAGGAATAAAAACCTATACAGTGGTGCCTCGCTTAACGGGCGCCCCGTTTAATGACGAATCCGCATAGCAATTAAGTTTTTGCGATCGTTTTTGTGATCACATTGCGATGTTTCTGATGGGAAAAAAATCGCTTTGTGATGATCGGTAAGCTGATTCACTTACCGATTTTCGCATAACGATGATTTCCCAACAGCTGATCGGCGGTTCCAAAATGGCCGCCGGGTTTAAAAAATGGCCGCCCGCTGTGTTTTCACCCAGATTCCTCACTTACCGGGCAGTGAAAACGGCAGCCGTATGGAGGATTTTCGCATAAAGGTGAGTTTTTCGCCTATAGGAACGCATTAAACAGGTTTTAATGCGTTCCTATGCGCTTTTTATTTTCGCATAGCGACAAATCCGTATAGCGACGATTTTTGCTGCATGGATTATCGTCGCTATGCGGGGCACCACTGTATAGCCTGAAAACATACTACATGGCTCTTAATGTTACTCCATCCGATAAAGATACTGCTAAATGCTCAGTGTCTCTTATTCTGTAGACCCAACAAGCTCCGTTGAAAGGGATCCCTTCATTAAGGCAGAAAAGACAGACATACCTTTTATTAGGTAAATGTAACTTCCTATTACCACCAGCGCTACAATGATTACAGCCAAGAGAATCTGAATTCTACTTCTACCTCCAATCTGATGATCTGGTTGTTTAAAAAAATGAAAACATTAGCCAACAAAATGAAACAGAATAAGTAATCAAAAATTAAGAAGAGTGTGATTAGGCATTTGTGTTTTACTATCCACAGGGAAAAAAGAACATAAAACTAAAAACTTGAAAGTAAAATTGGCCCGAGTTCTTCACGAAACTCTTTTTATCAGCTTGACAAAAGAGTAAAGGCTGTTCCAGACAGGGAAAACACCCCACCCTCTTTCTGCTACTTGGTCATAAAGGCGTGTAGGGCATATCATTATTCAGGGCCACACTGTAGTTTTAAAAAGAAGCCTCTCTCAAAACTGCTTCCTCAGGGGACCTTGACATCTTTTTTTAAAAAAATGTAAAAATCCTTCCCTCCTGGAGCATCTCTAGCTAACGGAAAGCTTCCAACAAAGAGGCTCTAACTGCAGAAATCCATGTCCAATGGAAAGAGTCACAGCACTAAATTTGTCCCCTCCAATAACAAAGTATGACTGAAAATAAATACAGTGGTGCCTCGCTAGACGATGTTAATCCATTCCATTGAAATCGCTGTCTTGTGAAAACATCGTCTAGCGAAAAGCATTTCCCCATTGGAATGCATTGAAACCCGTTTGATGTGTTCCAATGGGGGGAAATAGTCATTGTCCAGCGAAAATCGCCTGTAGGGAAGCCATTTTGCGAAGCGCCGATCAGCTGTTTAAATCGCTGTCTTGCGAAGCATTAGTCCATAAAACACCTGTTTTGCGAAGATCGCCCATAGGGAAGCCATTTTGCGAAGCCGCCAATCAGCTGTAAAAATCATCGTCTTGTGAAAAAACGGTCTGCAGAGCATGGACCAAATCATTGTCCAGCAAAATCCCCCATAGGAAAAACCGTTTTGCGAATCGCTATTGCGATTGTAAAAAGTCAACGTCTAGCGGTCTAGCAAAAAAAAGTTTTGCGGGGTAATAGTCTTGCGAGGTACCACTGTATACCTTCAGGAGGGGAAAAAAGCATGGAAACTCATGGAAATTGTCACTGCATTTATCTTAGACAAGAGGGGAGATCACAAAGATTGTGGGGAAAATACAGAAAACATCAGTGCAGAATCAGATGCATTATGAAGAACAATGTCCTGTCTGGAAGAAGCCTAAATCTCTGAATTTTTTAGCCCCAGAACCCAACTTTAATCCCAAACTGCATCACAGGTCATACTGGCTAGAATCCAATGCCAGTGTATGCTTGTGTAAATCACATTTGAGCTGCCATAACAAATTACTACTAATTAACAAGGCACTGAATATGTCTGATCATGTGACTGACCACACATGCAGGAACACAAAAAGCTCCTTGTTAATTAGCAGCACGTTGCCTCTGCAATTTATACCACTTGGTACAGACAAATGTGAATTGGCAATTACATTCAGGTCAATTCATACATTCTTATTTCTCCTTCTCTCACCCACAATGGTTGTTTTCCTGCTGCTTCTGCTGTCTTTTTCAGGATATACCTATATTACAGTGACTGCTAGACTACATTTGGCAGTCAGTACCTGTAGTTCTCTGATGGCAAAGCGAGACAGAGTTCTCAAACTCACACAGCCCCAACGCTATTCCCAACAACTTCAGAAAATCTGGAGGCCCAAGGTTGGGGACCACTGTGCTAGACTACATTTGGCAGTCAGTACCTGTAGTTCTCTGATGGCAAAGCGAGACAGAGTTCTCAAACTCACACAGCCCCAACGCTATTCCCAACAACTTCAGAAAGAAATCGTAACACTTAAAACTAGGAGATTCTTTCCTCATCTTTCTACTGCAACTCTCCCTTGTCACTCATCTTAGTTCAGTCTGCAACCTGAAGAACCACCACATAAAAGACACAAAAACTTACCTTTCCGGATACATTCATTCAAATTGATGGAGTTGCTCATCATCTTTCTACTACAACTCTCCCTTGTTATGGTGTCACTCATCTTAGTTCAGTCTGCAACCTGAAGAACCACCACATAAAAGACACAAAAACTTACCTTTCCGGATACATTCATTCAAATTGATGGAGTTGCTCACATTTACATTGAAAGCAGTAATGATGCACGTGATTTTCTTAGAAGGGTCTATGTTTTTGTGAAGTTGCACAAAAGACCAATTAGAATGAATAATTTCATCTTTTTCAAAGCCTTTCCACTCATATGATGGTGACAGATCCAGCATGTTGGTGGGCAGATTGCAGCTTATTTGGATGCTATCATTGGTAGAGCAGGTTAAACTAGGTGGTACTAGATGTGAGGAGAGAGAATAGAAGGTTGCATTACTCAAGACAGGCTCACATGATGCTTCAGATTACATGGTTTTACTTTGAGTTCAAAAGAGAAAGCTGAAAATAGTAGTTCACTTTCACAACACTTCTTCCCTGCACTAATTCTCCATACAGGAGATCTCTAGGAATCTGACCATCAGCCATTCTCATGACAAATCAATTTAAAACATGATTTAAAACGCTGCAGGATGGATAAAAATAAATGATTTCTGTAGAAATTCAATTTTATACTTTAAATCTCATTTTTAAATTTTTTTATCCATCTTGCAGTGATTTAAGTTGTGTTTTAAATCAATTTGATTTAAATCAAATCCACCTCTCAGCATGTATGACAGCAATTTGATTTAAATCGTATCCACCCTGCTAACCAACAATACCCTGGAGTGATTTCAAACTGGCTAAATATTACATTTAATTAATCAGGATAGTACCCCACTGCCACACACACCCAGTTCCCCTGTTTGTTTTTCTACACACCCAGGTTCCCTTTCGAGCATGACATGTACTTTTCACCCTCTTTCGCTGCCACCAGAGGATATGTTCCTCACTGCAACAAATATGACTATTAGATCAGTGCCGTCAAATATACCAATGTTTATTTATGGGTTTGTAGGTAAATCACATAAAGAAAATCATGGATGGTCTTTTATTATTCATTCAATAAACATTGATTACATGTGTTTGCTTATGTAGATTCACTTTAATCAAGGTATTACTATATTCAACCATTTATTTATTTTTTAGCACTTTTAACTCTTTCCAATCTTAACCGCACAAACTTTCCAAGTTCTTGTTTTCAATCCTTCCCTAACTATCCCTCTTAACTCTTTCAATCTCTCTCTATATCTCTGTCTCTTCTTCTCTCTAACTCTCCAACTTCCCAACTGACTTAACTGTCTCAACTGTCTTCCC